AATTTGTCCAAGCACTTAAAGGCTAGGAAGGCAACACCTGTCCTTTCTGAAAGGCTCTCGCCTCCTCGCGTAACTGATACTCGCGTCCAATTTGTCCAAGCACTTAAAGGCTAGGAACGCAACACCTGTCCTTTCTGAAAGGCTCTTGCCTTCTCTCAACGTGTCTGCCACCATCAACAGAACCGGCACAGTTCCAGTGTGCTGGCGGGTGGCTGGGATGCAGCTTTGAAAGCATAAAATCTTAGCACCAGAGCAATACGAATACGGTGTGCAGGGTAAAAAGAGCTGAAGAAGGTGTTTCTTCCCAATGAGATTGAACAGAGCAGCTTTAAAGCTATTGCTAACCTGTAACATAGTCCTCCCACAGAGCCAAAAGCACAAAATTGAGATGGCGATAAGACAGCCCACCTCCAGATTGCAGGAGGAACCAGCAAGAAAAAAAGTAGTGGAGGACCAAGATGGAAGGACAGACGGCCTGCAGGGCTCAGGATTCATCTCAACCAACTGAAGCTGCCGTGCCTAAGCTGTTCAACCTGCCGCCTCTAACCAAAGAGGCCGGGTGTCTCAAAGGGATGTTTTATCTTGTCTCAAGAAACTTCTGCAGCACCCTGTGGATCCTGGGAATACCAGTCAACATATTCACTCGTTAACCTCAAGAGTTCCTTCAGCAGTTTCAGTTACAGAGCAAGCAGATTCTGAACCTTTCCATCCCAGTTACTTTACAGCTGTCTTGTTTAAGTGTGTCCCCCGAACTGCAGGTTTTTAGAGAATAAAACCTAGTCCCCATGCTGCAAGCTCACGTCTCAGCCCTACAGAAACTGAAGGCGTGGAGGTTTCAGACAGTCAACTGACAGAGCAAAACACAGGCAAACAGATTTTTTCCTTACTTGGCTTCCTGCTCCAGCTGTTCTTCTAGCTGCACAATCTTGGCTTCTAGAGTAGAAATTGTTGCCTTGAACTTAGACTTCACAGATCCCTCCAGTTCCTGCAGCTTGGCTTTCAGCTCCTTGTTCTGCCTTTCCAGCTGCTGCCGTGCATTTTCACTCTTCTGGGCAGCGCTGCGCTCCCCAGCGAGCTCAGAATTAAGCGTGTCAACCTTTCAGAGGAGAAGAACAGGAGGTCACTTGGTGCTGTTCAGAGCCTCCACTGAACGGCACGCTGGAACACAAATTGCCCCGACGGCATTGCCAACAACGGATTCACCTGCAGCGTGGTCTTTCGGAACCGCTCGTTGAGAAGCTCCATGTTGCTCTGCTCTTCCTCGAGCTCCTCCTCCAACTGTGCAATACGAGCTTCCAGCCGGCGCTTCTCATCCAGCAGCGCTGACCTAGAAAGGGAGAATTTGGGTCAAGACACGTTCAGATCTGATACAAAGCAAGTGGCCAGTTTGCTGCTGATACTTTCGGCATTGCAGATTGTCATGAGAAGCTACTGTGTACGCTATGCG